CGCCGCCCTCCCCTTCACCCCCTCCCCCCCCCGCCGCACCTGTAGTGGAGGCTGAGGTTGGCATGGCCGCCGTGGTCCCAGGTCACCAGCACCGTCTGGAGGTCAAGGCAGAGCAGACGCAGGCCTGGCGCGGGTTCGAGGCCCCAAGGAGTGGGAGGGGCGGGAATGATGGGTGGGCATGTGGCCTCTGACCCCCCTCCCCGGCCTCCGACCCCCGGGCCTTCCCCAGTCCTCTCTGGCCCAGCCCCCCCCGGGCGTTGGGAGTTCCAGACGTTTCCGGAAGGTTCCGGGAGTTTCAGGGAGGGGATTTTTGAGGGAGGCCGGGGTGACGCACGTCCTGTGCCATTATCAGATCTCAGCCCACGCCCGCCCGGGAGAGAGAAAAGGGGAAGTTGAGGCCTGGGTGGGGGATGATGTTGACTGTAGATAGAGGAAGAGGAGGGGGGAGGAAGGTTCTGGAAAGCAGGGTGGGGGGAGGGGAAGGCCGAGGCATCTGAAGGGAGGAGAAAGATTGGGGGGCACTGGAGGGGGGGTCGTAAGATGGACAGACAGACGGACGGATGGACGGATGCCCACCAGCACTGCGAATGCGTTCGAGAGAGAGACAGACGGACAGACAGACACCAGGGAAACAGACAGACAGAAAGACAGACACCAGGGAGAAAGACAGACAGACTCCAGGGAGACTGACAGACAGACAGACATGAGGGTGACAGACAGACAGACAAACATCAGGGAGACAGACAGACACCAGGGAAACAGACAGACAAACATCAGGGAGACAGACAGACAGACACCAGGGAAACAGACAGGGAGACAGACAGACAAACATCAGGGAGACAGACAGACGGACTCCAGGGAGACAGACAGACAGACAGACTCCAGGGAGACAGACACACAGACACCAGGGAAACAGACAGCGAGACAGACAGACAGACATCAGGGTGACAGACAGACAAACATCAGGGAGACAGACAGACAGACTCCAGGGAGACAGACAGACAGACAGACTCCAGGGAGACAGGCACACAGACACCAGGGAAACAGACAGGGAGACAGACAGACAGACTCCAGGGAGACAGACAGACAGACAGACTCCAGGGAGACAGACACACAGACACCAGGGAAACAGACAGGGAGACAGACAGACAGACACCAGGGAAACAGACAGGGAGACAGACAGACAGACATCAGGGAGACAGACACACAGACACCAGGGAAACAGCAAGACAGACAAACAGACATCAGGGTGACAGACAGACTCCAGGGAGACAGACAGACAGACACCAGGGAAACAGACAGGGAGACAGACAGACAAACATCAGGGAGACAGACAGACAGACACCAGGGAGAAAGACAGACAGACTCCAGGGAGACAGACACACAGACACCAGGGAAACAGACAGGGAGACAGACAGACAGACATCAGGGTGACAGACAGACTCCAGGGAGACAGACAGGCAGACAGACATCAGGGTGACAGACAGACTCCAGGGAGACAGACACACAGACACCAGGGAAACAGACAGGGAGACAGACAGACACACTCCAGGGAGACAGACAGACAGACTCCAGGGAGACTGACAGACAGACAGACATCAGGGTGACAGACAGACAGACACCAGGGAAACAGACAGGGAGACAGACAGACAAACATCAGGGAGACAGACAGATGGACTCCAGGGAGCTGGACAGACAGACTCCTAGGAGACAGACAGACAGACAGACATGAGGGAGACAGACAGGGAGACATCAGGGAGACAGACAGACAGACAGACATCAGGGAGACAGACAGACAGACTCCAGGGAGATAGACAGACAGACACACATCAGGGAGACAGACAGACAGACAAACATCAGGGTGACAGACAGACTCCAGGGAGACAGACAGACAGACAGATACCAGGGAAACAGACAGGGAGACATCAGGGAGACAGACAGACAGACAGACTTCAGGGTGACAGACAGATAGACTCCAGGGAGACAGACAGACAGACACCAGGGAGAAAGACAGACAGAGACAGACAGACAGACAGACAGACACCCTGGGCCTCCCTCCTCACCTCTGTCTTCCTCCCCGGCCGACCCGAGCACTGTTGGGAGGAGCATCAGGGTGGAGGCCAGGGCGGCCCAGGGCCCCGGCAGCCAGCCCCGGAGGCTCATGGACGGACGGACGGACAGATGGATGGTTGGATGGATGGGTGGATGGATGGATGGGTGGATGGATGGGTGGATGGATGGATGGATGGATGGATGG